ACTAGTATTACCAATTATTAAGTTAATTTATAAAATTATAATATTTCAATTTTCTTTTAAGATATTTAGTTGAATAAAAATATAACTTTACTATTTTTATTTTTTTATATTATTTTATTTATATAAACCAAATTAACACCGATCAATTTTTTTCTTTTAGAAACACTCCTTCATATTCCCTTTCATAATTCATTCATTCCAATTTTCACTGTTAAAAATTTCTAAGGTTTAAGTACCATTTTGGTCCCTCAACTTTTCACTTTGACACTAAAATTGTCTCTCAACTTTAAAAAATATTAAAATTATCCTTAAATTTTCATTTTTGCTACCAAAATGATCCTTCCGGTCAGTTAAATTAACAGCTGGCATGTTAAAGGGACACATGGCACGTTAAGTTGCCAGAGAATTATATTTTTTTGAAAAAAAATACTGATGTGGATAAAAAAAACACAAATTGATGAGGTGGCACCTTTTTTTGTCAATGTGGCACTTTTAATTGTAATAAATAAATAAGGATTAATTATTATTAATTAATTAAAGTCGATTAACCTTTTCTTCCTTATTTTCCTGTTCTTCTTCATCCTTCCCCTCTTTCTCTCTTTCGTTCCTAGGCCTATTCTTCTTCACTCTTCCCCTCTGTCTTTCTCTCTTGTCCCTGGGCCATCAATCCTTCGACATCTCTTCTCGTTCCATTTCACCATTTTAGGTTTTTTTTCTTTACAGTGAATCTGGGTTCACCATCACCAGTGCTGGATTTTTTTCTTCCTCCTCTCTTCTCTCTCTCAATCCTTCGAAAATCAAACTTCTTCCTTCCTTTCCCCACTCATCCTTTTTCTTTCTTCTTCCTCTCCCAATCAAACCCAGATCTGGGTTTTTCTCAAACCCAAATATGGGTTCTTCTCAAATCCAACTGTCCTAAGAAATGGATAAACTCGGTGTGTAAGAGCCGCCACCCGCAGGACTCACTACACAAGCACACGGTGGATCTCGAAATGAATCTTCAGATGGTCTCTGAAGAGATTGCCGCCTCTCTCGAGGAGCAGAGCGCTTCTGCCCTTCTCCGTGTCCCTCGTGCCACTCGTGACGTCCTCTGCCTCCGTGATGACACCGTTTCCCTCTGCAATTCCGTTGCTGGATTCCTCGACAAGCTCAAGAAGGTCTGTTGTTCTTATTATCTTTCCTTCTGTTAGAGATCTTATGTCAATTTCGTGTTGCTTGGATCTTGAGAAAGTGCAGGAGAGTTGAAATTCGTTTAACTCAGTAGTATCTAAATTGGAAACCGAACAAGGGAGATTTGGTTTCAAAACCTTTTAATTATTGGAAATGTGCTTAATGCAGCTGAATTTTGAAATTGAAGGCAGAAGGCTCCTCAGCGGAATTTGAGTTGTTAATGCATGGTTCTCTTGTTTACATCTATTGAACAGGATGCTGCAGGGTTAACACAGTGGAGATCTGGGTTTTAGATCTGGGTTCCAGCGATGTGCAGGATGAGAGAGGAGGAGAAAAACCCAGATCTGGGTTTGATTTGGAAAGGAAGAAGGGAGAAGAGAGAGAACAAGAATAAAAAGGAAAAAGATGAATTTTTTTTTAATTTGAAAAATGGTGAAACAATAATAAAAAATATCAAAAAATTTTACCTGAAATTTACACGTCATTAAAATTAAGTTGTCCAATGATGTTGTGGCATTTAACGTGCCAGCTATCCATTTAACCTATCATCTGTTCATTTAACGTGCCATGTGTCCCTTTAACGTGACAACTGTTAATTTAACTGATGGAAGGATCATTTTGGTACAAAAATGAAAATTTAAGGATAATTTTAGTACTTTCTAAAGTTGAGAGACAATTTTGGTATCAAAGTGAAAAGTTGAGGGATCAAAATGGTACTTAAACCAATTTCTAAAGGTGCTTATTAGAGTATGAAAAAAGTGAATATCAATATATTTTTCTATTAATTTTTTAAGGATGTTTAAGGTTTTTTATTATCATTTTTGACATTATAATTACCATAACAACATAATTTTTAATTTTTTTAATTAAA